TCCCAAGAGCGGAGCTTACTACTATGAGACGTTTCCCTGCCAAGCACTGCAGACCGATTTGTACACACACGTCCAGCTCGATATCAAAGCACCAGCGTCAGGCGCAGCCTTCACAGCCGAATTAAATTCAGCATCAAGCTGCTCAGCGACGACCAGTTCAAAGACGTCTTTTCGAGCCACAGGCTTAACCGGCGGCTGGCAGACGCTACGCATCCCACTAAATAGCTTTGCAGCCGGGAACCTCAATGCCGCCCTGTCATTTGTCGTCGGGTCGTTTTCTGCTACTCAGGAATGGCAGTTGGACAAGATCTTGTTCGTCTGTGCTCAGGGGTCATCAGCAACTTCGACTTGTAAGTGATGGCCAGCCGACCAACCCGGACATCATCTCTGCAGATGCTAACACAAACTCTATAGTCACTACGATTACTACGGTTACACAAGCTCCAACAAGTTCGGTGCCATCTCCGACCCAATCGAACAACCCGTCTTGCTCAGCACTTCTAGTCGATGACTGGGCATCGCAGTCGCGCCTCGACTTCTTGCAATACAACTCACTCCTGCTGCCGACAGGAGATGACGGAACAATGCAGTCAAAGATCGTTAGCAACAATCACATTAACTTGACGCCGAAAGATTCCTCTTCATACTTCTTCACCCAAGTCGGATGCTTAGATGCATCAAAATATGGTGGAGTTTCACTCCGGATCAATGCCCCGGCTGGAACTACATTTAAGATCGAATTGACTTCTAAGACAACGTGTGAGGGAGAGGTGACAGCGTACTCGTCTCAGACAACTGCACAGCTAGGCTGGACCTTTGACGGAACCGAGAAGCTCTACAATTTCCCCTGGTCAAAGTTCAGTGGAGTCAACCTCAGCAAACTGAGATCACTTGTTCTCGAAGCGCCGACCCGCCCCATCACACTTGGCCCGCTTGCACTCTACTGCGGGAGCACCCCGACTGGTTGGGTGGTGCCTACGGCCACGACCCCGACAGGGCCAACACAGACCGTTCCGGCACCGGCCGCTACGGCCTCCGGGCTTGTGATTGACACATTTGCAAACTCAAACACGAACTCGCTTGGATTCTGGCACGGCGGCGATGAGTTGGGACTGACGTGGGGTTCGAACCGCCTCACAATAGTTGCCTCAGCTCCCGACTACGCATTCACCAGTCTGGTGAGCGGTGGATGTCGGGACTTGCGCAGTCAAAGTGGATCGTACTTACACATCGCCTACTCGGGTCATACGAAGTTCTCCATATCACTACAACAGCACAACTCTCAATGTAATGATGGCATTGCACCATACCCCGAAACAAGAGACAGCCTGGAAGCAAGCCGATACGCGACGACGAGCAGTGACATCTACATCCCCATCTCGCACTTCAACATCAACCTCCAACGTGTCGCGAGTGTCGCTATCAGAGGCATTTACAGTACCGATCCTGTATCCCTAACAAAGATCGAGATCGTCCCCTCCATCCCCTCGGGCGTCAGCATTCCCCAAAAATTGCCCTCGGGTACCCTGGTCTTTGCCTGTACCCGGCCAAATTCTTTTGCATTCGGTATCGACGACGGAAACCCAAAATACGCCGCCAGACTAGCGCAAATCATCCGCGACGCGGACATCAAAGTAACATTCTTCGCCGTCGGCGCAGTGCTCGAGAATCCGTCCACTGGCATGGCCAGCCTCTACCAGCAGCTCAAGAGCGAGGGCCACCAGATCGCACTGCACTCCTACACGCATCCTAGGATGGAAGGATTACCCGATACGGAGAGCATCGACTGGGAGTACAACGAGGACTACAGGGTAATGACAAACCTCTTTGGCGAACGATCCAACTACTTCCGCCCGCCATATGGAGTCGAAGGCGCGCGTATGCGTCAGCGCTGGGCGGCTGCCTCTGGGTCTGACAAGGCATACCTTATTAACTGGAGCGTCGATGTGGAGGATTGGCTGTGGGCTGAGACGAGCACGCCGGAGAAGCAGGTTGATTCGTTCAAGTCCGACGTTGCGAAGGGGGGAAATCTGGTTGTTATGCACTTCTCATACAACACCACGGTCGAGTACTTCCCTGAGTTTATCAGGCAGGCCAAGGCTACTGGTAAGCAAATTATGAGGATTGATCAGTGTATGGAAGATCCAAACGCACCTCCCCTCTGAAACCGGAGATGGTGGCGAAAGAGCGGAGATTAGGGGGTTGGCGGAAGATTTTGGTGACAGTGTTCTCATTCATACACGTAGGCTCCCTAGATCATGGTCGATATGAGTAATGATCGGAGTGACTGCTTTCCAACAGCCTATTGAGCTTATGGTTCACTTTAATATGCCCTCAGAATGTGCAGAATTGTCCAGGCTTCTGCTACGAGGCTGTGACGGTGACTACTAAAGTAGGCTGGCATGATCAAGGAGTCAAGCATCCCCGTCATCATTCATACGAGCTATCAACGTCTTGTCTTGTCTTTCATCACTTTCACATGACTCGAAATGATTATCTTCCATACATCATGTTGAATAGTGCAAAATTAATCCCATGTCGCTGCAGGTCGTATATCTGAAACCGTTAGAATAGTCGACGTCTCATAGTTTGAAGCTCTGAATTTCCGTTTGATGAGATCTAATCCGTCGGTAATAGCTTGGGTCATCCGGTGTTGTCTCCATTTATCCTCTTACCGTGCCTCCGAGCCGGCGCCGAGCGTGGGGCAGACTCGGAGCATTCTCCACCTGGCCTTTGTTCCAGCTTCCCAGACTTGTCGATTCTCCCTGTTCGTCGTAAGCTGGAATTTGTTCCATTGACCAGCTTCCGTGACCTTGCACTGCTCGCATCATCTCAATTGAGACCCTCTACCTACTCTTCCTCGGAGGCATTCACGTTGGCTTCTTGGCACCTCAGCGACAAAATTGTGTAGTACCAGAATGAGGGAAAAGAGCTTTTCCAACTCTCACCGGCTGGTAAAACTCGATAGCAGGATCGTCACGGAGATTTCAAGCCTCCATCTGAATTGACTTGAGTAGTTTATCACCATGACGAGGAAGTCCCATGTTAGCGGAGAACTCCCCCGCAACGATTGATCGCCGGTCTCCCGCACATTTGGGGATATTCAGGCCCCCCCTCATGCGGGGTAGCTGTCCCAATTGGGGAAGAAGCTGCCCCTGACGAGGAACGCCTTTGACGTCACCACCCGGTCATTGACGCCGGAGCTTTCATTCCAGCCCGGTCTGGTTCCTTCCTCCTCCACTTTCTTGGCCCATTGACGCTTGCCATGTCACTTTTCAGCTCCTTGTAGATGGCAGGGGGCGACAGGAGTACATTCTCCGTGAGTCCGGCAGGCGGAAAGAGCTAGGTACTTCGCCTTGGTCTTCAGCGCCATCGTCATTTTGACTGCATTTGCATTTGAAGCACGTGTGAAGAGCTTCGCCCCTGCCTGTTTGTCCTCCGTCGCCGGTCCGACGCTAGCCATACGCGAAGGGAGCAGGCAATTGCGAATTCTTTCTTCCCTTCAAAATCTGCTGTTTGCTTCCATCCTCTCCAACTCTGCCATTGACCTACCACTATTTCGAGACTACCTATCAAAATTTCCTCGTTCAATTCTACGGCCCTTGAATTCGTTAACGCTTTCACTTGTCCACCACTACTCATACTACCATCTCTTCAAAAGACCACCAAGATGTTGTCCGCAAGACCCCTCGTTCGCTCGACGCTCCCGAGAGCTACCCGTGCTGTCCGCGCTCCTCGCCAGCAGCTCCGCTTCCAGTCGACGACCACCTCATCATCAACAGGCGGCGGAAGCTCCCACTTCGGAGCCGGTGTCGCTGGTGGCCTTGCAGGTGCCGGTCTCTTCTTCGCCATCTACTCTTTCACTCCTGCCGGCCGCACTGCTTCAAAGGTCAACAAGGCCGCCAAGGAGGCTGAGAAGAAGTACACAGCCGCCGCACAAAAGTTGCAAGAAAACACACCTTCTGCCGACGAAGCCATCGACTACATCAAGCAATTCGCTTACTCCTACGTCGGTTGGATCCCTGGCGGCCGCTCCTACGTCGACTCCGCTTTCAATGACTTTGAGACTGTCCGCAAGAACCACAAGGAAGAAGCCGACAAGATCGTCGATGACGCCTACAAGCAGTTTCAGGAGGTTGCCAAGGCCGGCCTCAGTCTCGAGGCCGTCCACAAGGCATACGAAGTCCTTGCAGACATCACCCAGAAGCTCGCAAGCCTCGGAGGTGACGCCATTGGAGACATTGCCGACAACCACCCCCAGCTGAAGGAGAAGCTTGGAGGAAACATTGACCAGCTCAAGGACTTGGGTGACAAGTACGGACCCGAGGCCAAGAAGCAGGTCGATGAGACATGGAAGCAAGTCAAGGACGTCTTGGCCGGCGGCTTCACTGCCAGCAACTTCGACAAGGTGCGCAAGCTCATTGAGGAGAAGATCCAGCAGGTCCAGAAGCTTGGCGACGAGGCATGGAAGAAGGCGCTCGAGGAGGCCAAGCCCTACCTGGACAAGAACCCGAAGGTCAAGGAGCTGGTCGAGAAGAATGCCGACGCACTCAAGAAGGGAAATGCCAAGGAGCTATTTGAGAAGGCAAAGAAGGCTACCGAGTCTGGAGACCTTGGAGGTCTTGAGAGCTACGTCACTGATGCCGTCGACAAGGCTAAGTCCAAGGGCTCTGAAGTTGGCGAGAGCTTTGGTCTGGACCAATACTTCAAGATGATCCCCGACGGAGACAAGATCATTCCCAAGTTGAAGCAGCTCCGCGAGGTCGCCGACAAGCACAAGGAAGAGGGCGAGAAGCTGTTCAAGGAGACCATTGAGGAAGTGAAGAAGGTCCTTGAGGCCAAGTCTAAGAAGGCGGAGGAGATTGCCGAGAAGGCTAAGAAGGATGCTAAATAAGGGACATGTCTCCGGCATTCATGGCACTGATACCCCCAACAAGACGTCTAAATGGACGACGCCTTGTACGATAGTTGAAAAAGCTTTTCCTGTGTACCAAATATTTAATGACTAGACTCACCCATTGCCTATGACTCTTGCTGCAGTGAGCCTATATTAAAACATCCTTCGATTAAAGATAGTAACTATTTGCCCATCCATACTTTCAGACCCTCAGATGTCCTGCGGCTTGTACAGAACGCGCTCTTTCAGCAAGCGCGGGGTATCGGGATCATGACTTGGAAGAACAACCACATCACTCTGTTTCGCAAACGCCTTGATCTTCCGCAAGCTGTCTAATGCCGACATGGGATCGTCGTTGATTCCATCCGGTTCTTCCTTATCCAGCAGATCTATGCCGTAGCTCGCGTCTCCAAGCAAGCAATAGGTCGAAGTGGTCCCGTCTTCGTTATTGCCATACACAACAAGCGAAATGTGACCGGGGACATGGCCGGGTGTATGCACCGCCACAACCTTCCCATCAGCTGTGATCCGACCAGTCGTCTCCCACGGCCCCACCGCACCGGCCGAAAAGTCCACGAGTGTTGGTTGGAAACCTTTCGGCCAGTGCTGCGGTACACATCCCGCGAGCGTCGCGGTCATGGGACTATTCCCAAACGCAGCCCAATGCTCCTTGCTCACAAACACAGGAACATCCGGTGCGGCCTCCTTCAGGGCCTTCAACCCGCCCGCATGATCGCCGTGGAGATGTGACAGCACGATGGCCTGCAAATCACTCGGCTCTACACCAAGCCGCTGCAACTGCTTGACGATACCGTCTTCCGGCTTGATGTCCACGCTGCTGAACATCTTCGTTGGGGACAGGTAGGGGAGGTAGCCTGGGTCGTTGAAGCAGGGTGACTCGCCCGTGTCGAAGAGGATCGGCCCGTCTGGGTGGGCGATGAGGAAGACGCCGATAGGGAGGGGTTCTGTCCATTGGCGGTTTGCGATGCAGCGGAAGCGGCGGAGGGTGACGAATTGGTCGAGGTAGGATTTCACGGGCTGGCTTTTCATGGGGAGTTTGATGCGGACTGAGCCGGTTGAGAGGAAGGTCAGACTGACCCTCTTTTGTGCGTCTGTACTCATGTTGTAGGTTGTGATTGATTTGAGTTACAAATTTGATGTACAGAAGATCTGTCGAAAGGATCGATTGAGTCGTCAGCACTTTAATCAAGCGGTTTTGTCTCGATGTTTGACTTTGAGATTCGAACCTTCAGATTCGTAAGTTGGATGCCCTGCGCCTTTGTGTGCCGAGATCCCACTCGTACCGAATGCCGGTCGGCGCAAGACCCATTCAATCCCGGCTCTAAACCAGGATGGGTCATCTAGCAAGACATAGTTTCCGCGAGCAAGTAACGGATTAACGACAGAATTGGTATCGAAGAGCATTTGAATTGTACAAGGGACTCTTCATCCATGTGATCATATCATTTGTTGGCAGTTCTTGCGTTGTAAACGACAGTCGAGACTTTGAGACTGGGAATAACACCGAAAACCAACTGATGTACAAGCGTCGCTAAGACTCTCACCCATTAGGTTACTTCCCCTCCACATCCGGATCATTCAAATACCAGGTAGAATCAGACCCATCCAACTCCATCGTAGAGAGCCCATTCCCAAGGTACGCAAACCGATTTCGCTTCTTCTCATACACATAATCCCAGTCCTCCCCTCTAAAATTCTCCAACATGTGGAAAAAGTGGATTCTGCTCCCAGGATGGAGTGCTGTCACAGGTCCATCCACAGCGCCGCCTTTGAACCAGGATCTACAGGACCCGGCCCATGCTGTGCGTGGCATGAAGGCCTGCGTGTGTTCGTACAATTCATTGACTGCGTCGAGGCTGGGGCTGATGGATTTGATATCCTCGGTTTGGCATTTTTGGATAATACCGGCGACATATTTTGCGAGAAGTTCGGTTATTGTGAAGACGCTGCCGTGGCCGATGGGGGCGTTGGGGCCAAGAAAGACTGGATTGTCTGTTAGTACAGTGATTGGAGTTGAATGGCACCACCACAATACAACATGAACTTACCAAAGTAGTTGGGCATCTCGGGGACCGCGCAAGACATGTAGGCTTTCGGTATGTCCTTGGCCCAGATATCTTGGAGATTTGTTGCCCCTCGCCCGACGATAGGGAACCGTGGGCGAAACGAGACATCGAATCCAGTGGCACACACGATAGCATCGACCGCAATGTGTTCTCCAGAATCTGTAATCAGGCCGTCTGAGACTATGCGGGCGATTTCTCCCGAGATGACTCTTGCATTAGGTTTCGTCAGAGACTCTAAGTACCCGACACCTGGCGTCATTCGACGACAACTTATAGGGAACGAGGGGATCAGAATATCGATCAGCTTCTGATCGTTATTGAGTGCAGATTGCATGTATTGAGTGACGCCCTGCGTGGCTTGTCGGTGTGTTTCCGAGTCCTTCAAAACCTATCTTAGAGTTAGTTCAAAGTTCAAAGAGATAAGATTGGATCACCGACCATGAAGAAGTTGCTGTTAACTTGTTCTTCTATAGCCTTGACGAATGACTTGTATAGCGCGGGATCGGACTTGAACTTCGCAATCTGTGCTGGCGTGAAGTTCTCATCCTCATCTAATTCAATCTGCTCCATCGTTTGCGTTGCCCTTCCAAGCAGCAATGTCTGAACTCGCGGCGGCATTATCCAAGTTGGCCCACGAATAAAGTGAATCATTTCCTTCGCGTCTTTGCCTCTTTTGTGAGTATCTTGGTGGTACGAGACCTGACTGTTACTCACCTTTTTGTACAGCCGGAACGATTTGAACTCCCGATGAGCCATTGCCTATTACTGCGACTCGTTTTCCTTTCCAGTCAAATGTCTCATCCCAGTTGGCGCTGTGGAGGAGAGAACCTGCAAAGTCTTGTAAACTGGGGATATCTGGCCACTTCCAGTTGCTGCAGGAAACTCAGACTTAGCAACGCACCGGGCACGCTATGAAATCAGGGGCATAATCATACTTCAAAATCCCGCTCGCGTTGAGCAAAAACTCGCAATGGTCCCCAAACTCCACACCGTCCTCCAAATTCTTCACCCTAACCGTCCATATTCCAGCGACTTCATCCCAAAACGCTCCCGTTACGAGATGATTAGTCTTGATCTGACGTCGTAGATCCTCATCATCGCACAAGCGACACAAGTACGCCTGGATCTCTTCCGCCGGAGACAGAAAGCTGCTCCACTCCTTGTTCGGCATCCAGGAGAATTGATAGTTATGCGAGGGGATATCGCACTTGCACCCCGGATAGCGGTTCTCGTACCATGTGCCTCCGACTTCGGGGTTCTTCTCATAGACAGTGTGTTCAAAGTTTGTAAGTTGCTTGCGAAAGGTGCGGATCATGTTCAGGCCGCTTGCGCCGCTGCCGATTGTGATGATGCGGACCTTTTTGGCTGTTCCGAGGGGTTGTTCAATGACTGCGTATGGATCTGCTGGGCCAGTATCTGGTGTTTGTGGGTTCCTGAGTGCGAGGTGGTTGCTAATTTGAGTCACGCGTGAGGAAGCCATTCTGTCATCTGATTCTGGGTTAAGGAAGGACAATGAAAATAAGTGTTGGTTCATTTGGGGATGCCTCGTAAGTTGGGGATTTGTACGCAGCTTTGATGTACTGGTCGCTGGGAGTAGATTTTGGTCTCTTATAGGTACACTGGGCAAGTTACATGAAGTATGCAGGCCCTCCAAATGTGATGATTTGATCACAGCAACATCCTGTCCTACCTTGGCCGCTAGCACGGTGATGCCCTGGATTCAGCGCCGGCTGCTCAGCGTAGGCATAGTCAACTCTAATCGTCTACGGCGTCCATGAATTAGTTACCCCAAGCAATTTGCCGAGAAGCACTGGGCCTTCAACTCCATGTTGTGAGGAAAAAGCGTCGGCAGACGGTGTTCGAATCTCGGCACTCGGCACATTGCGCTCGGTATTCGATGCCCCGCAAAATCGGTTAACATCAATCCTTCACGGGATTGGACTAAACGCACGCAGTGTCTCGGAACATGAACCACATGTTTTCGCCGCACCGCCAGGCGCTATTCTTCAGCAATAAACCATCATCATATTCAACAATTCTAGGGTAGAAGGAAAATGTTCTTGTTTGATCATTTCTAATCGAAAAGTAGAGAAATGTGTGTTCTTGATATCGGGGTAACGTACCCACTCTCCCTTAGATTGGCCACTCAAATGGGCCAACTTTGTGCGGAATAAACCTCACTCTTACACCGTGGTCAAGGGCGTTGAGGTCGGAAATCTAGCCAACGTCAATGGTTCTCGACTGGTGCATTAAACTTAAGATAGAAAGGACTGTGTTGTGCTTGTCGTCGATGCAACAGGCAGCGGCTGAAGACCAATGTCTCTTACTGTCCGCGCCTGGCTCAATGATTCGCCTTCTTTTGTACACGTACGAAGAGATTCTGCAATCATAAAGTATTTTGAAAAGTCCAGGCCCATTCCAGCTGTGCTCTGCCTCCATGTTGCCTCTTGAAGCAAGACAATGTGGAGAGGAATCCACCATCGAACGCATTGTGGTTGTGCATCCTGGCTCGAGAGCGATACCTCTGAGATAAGGCAGTTTGAGGTAGGAAGCGGATGTAAATTACAATCAATCCCCATTTGCTCGAACCAGATGGCTTGCCTTACAATACACCGTCTTTTCCTGTCTAATACAAGATCTTAAAGCGGCGGCGAGTCTGGCGACCCAATTTGATGACCGGTGCATATGCATGCATGCTTACTGCCCTCAACAGGCGCTTAGCCCACAAGTCAATTGGATCGCGATTTCTTGAAAGTGGCACAGTCCTGCGGAGAAGAATACTTTATCAGTCATGTGCCGAGCGCGGATCATTGTACATAAACCTTCCACCCATTGACTCTACCGAACCTATGTTGGCTCAGGCAAGCCTTGCCATTTTTCTCGATCCGTCGCATGAGCAACTAAACGTTGCAGATTTTATCAGTACCTTACCATGCCAAAATTTCGATTGTGGTGGTAAGGACAGCTTCACAACCTTGGCTGCGGTTCATCTACTAACAATGGTTTGCGACGTGCAGGTATCGGTTTGTACCCGTCCTCGGATACCACCATGTCATGATGATAACTCTTGTATTCCCCATAATTCTACTATGTATTTGAACATACCAATCTTCACCAAATCATATGCGACGAAGACGTTTCTGACGAAATTGAAGCTGTTCTCTTATCTGGATGCACCGCCGAGAACCTCAATGGGCTATGCCTCATTTCTCTGTCTTACTCCAGCGAACCATCAGGAACATCCTCCAATCAGACAGAGACGGGTTCAAACTCAAACACCACGACTGCAGACAGACCGCCACTTGAAGTTCGCGTTGGCTATTTTGGGATGTGCATAAAGAGCATGAACCAATGGGTTTGCTCAACAAACTCGCGAGTCCTTGACTCATTCGCACAGCGAACGCAGCAGGGAGAGGGTAGTGATTCAGCTTTGCTAACCTTGGCTGCGGACAGGTTCAGAGAGGAAATCATCTTCAAGGGTCTCCTGTGAGAGCATCACAATCTTAAAAATGGCTTTCGTGGGCAGCTTTCGACTAACGAGAACATAGCTTCGCACCAATTATTCTCGGCTTCTTTGTTATTTTCTTATTGAGCCTCTTTCCGAGTTGGCATGATTCAGAAGAATCAGTAGCATCTGGCAGAGAGGCAGTTCCCACAAGGGCAATCTCAATACTTGCGTGTTTTTGCACATTCTTTGCGGCTTTCCTATATCTTATCGCAGTATTTTGGCAACACCTCTCAAGCCCTGCTGCAATCTCTATGGGAAAAGCATTTACTGGAGGCGCGGTAGTCGGCAGTGTGGGCACTGGCGCTATGTCACTCGGGTGGATTTCTGTATTCCTCTTGCTATGTACTTCCTTCGGCCTCCTCATCATGATCCTCTCAATCAGAGTTCTTTCGCAAATGTTGGTTGAGATGGAACACAGGGGAGACTAAAACGGGGACCTGTAAGATGACCCAGCTGGCTTGTTCCAGATGATGAATTGAACGGAGAACGAGTAATACTACTCAGATGGACACGAAATGGAAACAGGGAATCGAATCCATTATCCACCTGTGGTAGTCTAGCTTTTTTGGCGAGAGTTTGGTAAATGTAGTTTACTACGAATAACCCTTGAAATACCCCTCTTGGCTTAACATCGGGTTAATCCTCTAGTAGTAGTAGTAGTAGTAGTATCCAGAATCATCAGGGACAGGAACATAGCTATCCAATTAGCCAAGCTCCGATCTCAGGTTCATTCTCGCGGGATATAGCTTTCTTATCCTCCCGTGTTCCCAACGCTTCATCGACCTTCCTCGCCCCTAAGTACCTCAGTACCACGTACCTTCTGGTATCTTTCTTTGGAACCCTGGAGACGTCTGGGCTTCATGTATGTGGAATGCTATATAACCACAACCCGAGGCAATAGATGCCATGGTGACAACGATTGATATCGCCACTTTGATGCCGGATGATAGTTGTGAGGCCCAGATTGGTCCGAGAAGAGCTAAGAAAAGACCGATGCATGCGGTAAAGGCCACTCCCCACTGCCAAAGATTGGTCTGGGATGGGCGAAACATTCCAAACCATCTAGCTATTCGATCAACATTAAAAGCAATGATGATGAGTGGAATAGAGAGCCCGAGACCAATGGTCACTGGCGGAGACCTATTAGCTGGTTTCACAGGAAAGTCGTCGTTTACATCGAAAGACTCACTGATATGCTTCACGAGGTAATCGAAGGGGATTCTGTCGTTTTCGTCAAGAGGGTAGCCATTGGTGTTGATTGCGAACATGGCGGCAATAAAAGATACCGGCAGCTTTAAAGTCATTAGTAATGGGACAGATTTGATTTTGGGCATCGTGTTGCACTTACGAAGAGAATTGTCACCACTGTAAAGACAATGACAGTTTTGCCTTGTTTGGCCGTATCCCTTGCGGATTCGCGAGCATAATAAGCTTCGCTAAGGCTACCCCGTTTCTGTTTGAGGTCCATTAGACGGAACAGCTACAAAGAACGTCAAATAAAGTTCCATGTTGAAGGACCAGTCCAAATCCTTACAGACGTTTCCGCTTTTTTGGCAGCCTCTTCCATCTGATCAATGTGTAGTAGGTGATCATCTAGGACTCTTGTTTTGATCCAGAGTTTCTGTGGGTTTTCATTCGCAATCGCGCTGAGACATGTGTTCAGACCTCGAATGATCGTCCTTTGTTTTGTCAGGACTAGCTTCATCGTATGTAACTCGTCCAGAATGTCATCAACTTCAATCATCAACTCTGTCTCTTCAGTGATTTCTATGACATCATGACTCCCCATTCTGACTGCATCCTTAAATATTCTCCATGCGCTCGTCACGTTGTCACTCTTATTTTAGAATCATTAGCTAAGTGATCTTCAATAGTTTTTGTACTCCTCGTATCATTAAACAGGGATAGAGACGTGCATATTACCGCTTGGACAATTGAACGATCGAAGAATTCAAAAAAGAGATGCTCATCGGCCACGTGGTGAGGATTTAGCAATTCCACGCAATGTGTTGTGATGAGACTTGCTAAGTCATTGACAGACCCGATGGCCTCCCGCCCTTGTTTTGAAAGATGCTGTATGACCAAGTATGGCACTGTCAAAGGGGCTTCCGGGTCAATTTCCGGCCACATGTCATGCGTCTTGGTGCTTTCCATGAGATTGGGGCCTCTAGGTCGTCTCTCGTATGCAGGAATCTGTTGTCTCCAACCGGCAAACCAACGAATGAACGGCGGCGGTTTTGAGGGTTGCGTAGTTATATCAGTTTGGTTTTGGGAGTCTCTGGCCACCCAGGAGTTCCATCGAAGGGGGCAACAGGATATCACTGTCTCTGTATGTGTTTCGAGATGGTCAGCGATACATCCTCAACCGACAACACGATCGGGTTTAACACGTAGAAAAATACCGTCTCCAAGGATCCAGAGCCAGAGCTGGTCCACCATCAGGATCAGAGGTTCGGGGAACGAGTGACTCCTGGTGTAGCGGTAAATAACCTGGTCGTTATCGCGGTAGGGGGTAGACTCGGTATGCGAGTAGATGTACTGGTCCAGGGTTCGTCGTGGTTGAAAACCTTGCGTCGTGGAACTGAAATAGCCTCGGATGAGTTGTTCGTGTAGGTTACCTGGTGGGGGACTGTATAATTCCTTTTTTCGTCTTTGTGCCAGTCTTGGAGCACTCTGACGTTGCTGCTCAGATATGCCAGCTTCATGGAATGTCCCTGGCTGCAACAATGGTTGCTGCTGCTGAGAGGTGTTCCATTCCCCATACTGTTCTGCTGACCTGCCAACGAACACTCTACTGGTCTCTGAGCTTAAGTCATTGTTGTTGCTCGTCGCCACTACTTCAGAAAAGGCTACCTCGGGGTCTGCCTGGCTGACTGGCTCCTCCCGCTGGGATTGCGTGCCTCTGAAGCTACCGTGATCGTTTCCGCTCGAATCTCTTAATACAGGTAATTCTTGTTCATTTGCCGCAATGGGAGCGGTAATCCTCAGTGTTTCCAGTCGAACCCCTTCATCATCAGGACTGCTAATGTTGCTCTGTCCGAGGTTTGGTGATTGACGTTCCAAGTCAACTTCGGTTGCTGGTTCCTCAGGTAAGGCTGGCCTTCTCGCATGCCAATTCTGGAGGCGAGTTCCTAGCCGCCTGACAGCTGCATCTACGCGTGTTCTGGTCTTCCTCCTCGCTGTGCGAGTAGGCGAAGTAAGAATGGAGCCATCCGTATCATTGGATACTTGCCGGCGAGCTTGGCTCGCTGAACTCGACTGATCGCTCCTGAGTGGAACGTCCTGATTTTCAACCATTGCTTGGAACCCTGGGGCCATCATTGAGCGACCATAACCGAAGGGCTTGACTCCTTCCGTTGATCGATTCTCCAAGGCCTGAGCCATTTCCTGGTGCCCATCATGTGTTTCGAAATTGAGGAAGGGCACCTTGCTAGGTAATTAGATAAAATGCGTTTCATTAGACCTGAAGTGGCAGACTCACAACTGAAACAACAGCATCCTTATCACCAGTCAGGGAGCTTAAAGCAGGATGCTAGCAGACAAAAATATCAGTAGGGCTCGAACTTGAAATGCACTATATTTGAGCATGATGTTTGGAGATATCCTTACTGGCACTCGACGGCAATGCGGTCGCATATGGGAGTTGTGATGTTTAGGTGACTGGAGCTTGGTCATGCCAGGCGTTCCAGAGAGCTCGAGCTCTAGCTTTGCACTGTCGTAGTTTTCTGATGATACCCTACCACTTTCTGCGGCAAGACGTCTAACTAGGCTCTGTTGCTCGTCAGCATCTTCCATGGAGTGAGACTCAACTAAAAGAAAACAATCTTATCTACCTCGACCCAGGCCATCTGGAAGTAGTTTAGTAAGTACCTTGAGAAATGGCCTTATTTGATGGGATCTGGGAATACAAAGACTGTCCTACATTGTTTGTTGGCAGGTGGTACCACGTGAAGTTGGGCTTCTTGCCATCAATGTGACTCTTGATTGCCTCAGGCCCATGGCTGTACAAAAGTTCGTACATCGAAACGGTCTTCGGTATCAGCTGCTCGTGCTCTCCATTTGTGAAGAAATCAACGATGTTCGCTTCAAATCCGTGACAGGCAATCATTTTGTCGCATTCTGTCTCAGCCGGAGGGGGAGGTACCCTCAATCCTACAAATTCTTGAGGTTGATCACTGCCTTGACTGGATCCCCGAATACGAGGGCCCTGCAGTATAGTCAACCCAAATCGTAATTCCTGTAGCATTTCAGCATTGCCTTGGGCAAGGTCCAGAACTGTGTCGCCATTAGACCTTCGGACATCTGGCTTGGCTCTTTTCTGCAAGAGCAGCTTGACGACGTCTAGGTTGTCGGAAACGACGGCTGGAAAGAGCGGCGTTTGCCCATCCGCATCGCGGCTGCTAACGCTGGCACCCTTTTCGAGCAACATTGCCACTAAACTTGGATTGCCTGAGCGAGCAGCCAGGAAAAGTGGTGTCCACTCGTTGATGGCTTTGAGATTGTTGACGTCCGCCCCATGCTCTAGCAATACCTTCGCAACGTCGAGAAAGCCTCTCTCGCATGCAAGATAAAGAGCGGATGGTGGATCCTCGAAGTACCAAATATTTGGCTCCGCTTGAAAATCCAGCAGAAGCTTCACGATGCTCGCGTTGCCGCTTGTGACTGCACAGAAGAGTGGATCTCTGCTACGAGAGGTCATCGCCTGAACGTTGGCTCCGTTTTCGAGCAGGATCTCCGAGAGTCTTAGGTTGCCGTGCAAATTTGCGATGTGAAGCGCCGTCAGTCCGCCAGTCCCTGCATCATCGTACCCATAGTCTGCTGCCATGAACATAAGTCTGCGATCGTTCGGCGTGGTGGCCTCAAGATCCGCTCCGTGACTAAGTAAAATCTCTGTAGCTGCCGTATTGTCGCTCACTACTGCCAAGTGCAAAGCAGTAAGCCCATTTTCGTTCCGGATGTCGATGCTTGCGCCACATTGCTCGAGCAAAGTCCGCAAATCTTCGGGTTCCGGACTCTTCGCTGCCTCAAAGATCTTCTCAGTGTCCGGCCTGGGCTGGTCTTCGCGAGATCCAGGTGGAACATCTGCATCCAAATCCATATCGTCCTTCAAAAGTCAAAAGCCTTTTCTCAGTGCGACACAAATATCATACGCACATGAATCGCTAGAGCCTGTGTGAATGATTAGAGCTGACGGCACTAACGATGTCCTTTTTGCTGGTATAATCGGGACTTCAATCCACGTTTACCATCGATGTCAGTTATTGTGAGTTACTCAACAAACTTGCTCAGCTTGGTGCATGGCCCTCCGTAGGCCGAATTTGATAACCATGCGTTCCTTACCCGAGAATCACGGCAAGGTGGGTACAGTGATTGATAAAACAAGATGATGGGGAGGAAGATATGCCCTTATCGCTCCTTTGACCAAAAGGGTCAGAGAGGGGGACGATCTCTCTCGCTCAGCCTGCTTCAGAATATTGGGCAGCTGCATACGCGACATGTACACAACAGGGGGTTTCGTGGAGTTCAAACTCTAACCGCTTGCTATCGGTGAGACACATTCTTATCTGCTGTAAAGCAGCGGGTGATACGGCGAGCAATGTGACCCGAACTGCATGAGATGAGAGAACATCCAGGCGGTTGTTGAATTGATTCTGGGCATTGTTCAGCTTACAAGCCCTATCATGATGAGGGTCGAGGTCTCGCACCATAGTCCTGGTCTTCATATCAAAACACAACCATTGATGAATCTCATCTTATCGAATGAGTGACGAGTGTGATCCCATCGACTGCTGGATAATGTCAAACATGTTGATACGTACCGACTATGAGGAGTAATAGCAAATCCCGTACTGTTCCAGAATAATTCGAATTAAATCCGTGGCATCTCAAATAAATGCACCTAATAATAAAACCTCAAAAGTTGACATTGGAGAAAGCTGGAGCTATACGTCTTGAGGTTATCCAGCAGTCGATGGGATAGCGGAATATGTGGAGCCATGAGAAGATGTGCAGATCTCATTGTAGAGCATAGCTACTTAGAGTCTTAATTATCTTTTACTTTTGTAGGGTGCGACATGCGCTACTACGGATTCGATGATTGTACTCGATTGAATGTCAATCAAATATTATGCATCTATCAAATCACTTCACGCCTAGTCACTTTCAAGGAGCTCATCTATAAGCTCCAATACTATCCGCTGCAACGCACTGCGATTCACATGTCATTCGTTCGATGATATCTCGAACTTTCATGATTCTTCACGTTTGCGCAAGGCAGCAATCAGTTCGTCGGCAATTTTACACCCCCAATGCCCCCATTCCCCAGTTTCATAAGATGATCTTTGGTAGGCATCCATCAGAAGTCTAAATGCTTGTCCATCAGGGAATTTACGTGCCCAAACGTTTCTTGACCAGCATTAGCCGATGTAATGTATGGCTGAAGGAGCAGTGCCTTCGCTTACCTCGTACGGGCAACAGGCCAGGGCCTCTCAGTCTACGAACGCGCCTAAGCAGGTTGTGCTGGTGAATTCTGGAGGCTAGTGGAGAGATTTCCATCGGTCACTCAGCCCCGGCTTGTACTCATTGACCACACCAGACTGCTGTGCCACTGCAGCGCGATAATTAATATTCCATATTTGGAGCCTTGAGTTCGATAACTCAGTGTTTGAGGTCCCTGCCTTCAGATGAACACTTCAAGATTCTATCAACAGTAGAATAATCCATGTTCGCATTTGGCCCTTATGACATTTTTGCTCTTCCTTCCATTGCAGAGCTCTTGACTTTGGCAAAAATGTCGCTTGCAACAGACAAAGCTTCTCTGCCAGCCGGAACACCGCAGTAAATCATCGCATGGCGGCAAGTCTCGACAATCTTATCCTCTGAAATACCAAGGTTGAGTGCCGCCGCGATATGTATACGTAACTCCGGGGTTCTGTTGAGCGCTATCATCATGCCAATATTGATCAAAGACCTCTCCTGGAACTCGAGGCCGGGGCGAGCATAGCTAGAGAAACACACTTCGGCGATGTACTCGGCACTGACTTTGCTTGGAAGATCATCGCGCTGTCATTGATCTATCAGCTTTGTCCCTCGCACAGTATCGTGCAGCGGTGCACCTACTGATTGCTCTTGAATAGCGCCGAGAAGTTTAGCACCTAAGAAGGATTGAGCCATTCGGGCACCCTGCACCAGCTTTTCGCTAGGTTCCGACATGTTGTTAATGTCGTCTCGAATTTGTGGTGGTTGTTTACAAAAGCTAGGAGGCAGATACGGCGCGTGTAGAAACGTTTCTGGATCGAATCTTCAATCCGTTCTGCCAGGAACTTTGTTTGCTGTCGCCTTTACAATAAGAGCAAAGCCCGACCCGTCTTCAAATAATAACACCTTCGTCTGACCCTTGTTCTATTGTTTCTAGTATATCGAACCATTAAAGCGTACAGTGCAGTGCCGAGTGCCGAATTGCCGAAGCAGAGAAGCATCCTTTGGACACCACGGCGTTCGGGTCGGTTGACACATGCCGAACCACGGATCGACGAAACTCTCATCATGATTAAAGCACAATTGCAGCAGAATCCTATTGTCCAATATTTCTGTACCCGATATTCGGCAGCATGTGAGAGCCCTCAACAATTGGCGCCATCGAAATTTGCAAAGTCCATGCCAAGCACATCCATGAATGAGGTAATGTCGTCAAAGTCATCCCCCAGGCGCCCCAAGTCTCCAAAAGCGTCATCTTGAAAGATGCTTCCGTCTCTGGTGTCGTTTATTTGTGATAGAATGTCCATGTTCTCGCACATTTCTGATGGGAAAGCAAATAGGTCGACCATGTGGTCTTGTACAATCTTTGCTGTTGATAAACCATGGGAGCCTGCTGTCTCGCTTCTCAAAGAGGACGATTCTTCAACCCGCTCACCTCCAAAGTCTCGTGGCGCGTCCTTGAACTTGACCAAAATAGCGCGAGCTCCTCCAAACTTGGCGCTCATACCCTTCAGGATGCAGTGGATAACATCAAGATCTCTGCTGAGTACGCTCTCTTTCTCTTGCGATTGAGGTTGATGAGATATCAAAACGACGCCGACGACTAAGACAAGGAATGCATGATAGTGTATTAGATGGACGACGCGCTCTCTGCATCGAATTTCGTCGTAAAGCCGTGCAGCACAGGATGCAGCGAGGACCGACGCTGGCGAAGTTCTCCACATTGACGAACTATTACTTCTGGTAACCGTCTGAATGAGTATAATGGCGACGAAGTAGAAGATGAAAATCTCGGCGCGTTGCTGAGTGAATGGCTTTTTGATCCCATCGGGACTAAACAGCCGTAAGTCTTCGGGCAAGTTAGTCAGCCAGTCATAAAGCGATGCGACGACGGCTTCCACTTCTGCCGATGTTGGGCCACTTTTCCTAAACTTCAGAGTCGTGATATCCCCAACGATCTGTATGAGCCTCGTCATCCAGGTTGTGGCAGTTGCTTCAAAGTTATGCACAGCAAAGTCTTCCTCTGAGAGCGGTGGTACATCAGTGTCTTCGGGTCTGAGGAGGAGGGGTCGCCCCCAGCAAGCTGTCATAAGGATTTCACTCGTCTGCGTGCACGGCGTCAGACTTGCCCTCAAGATGAACGAAACTGATTTCTTGGCATGTGTTTGAGGGAGAGTACTTAAAGTTATGATACTCACCTGAAGGTGCCAGAAAATTCGCCGTAAGCTACCAGCACCCTGACGATTGATGTATGACGACTGTTTCTGAAGACCAAGTTGAAGCGCCATACGCGAAGCCATACCTGTCCAGTGCCATGGTCCATCAAGGGTGACTAGATAGGGGGAAGAAGGGCTCCAGCATGACATAAGGCACAGAGCTTTGAGAACCGTCAATTGATCAGGCTCAAAGCCAACGTGAACCAGCGTCTTGACTTTTTCATACTGCGAACTCGCGAGATCGACGCTGTCCTTTCCATGTCTCATGAGACTACCAGCTAAGCAAACTGCTTGCTGAAGAAGCACCGATGCACTTGGACCGGAAACGTCACCGGGGTCAACTACAGAGTAGTAGAATGCGGCGTGCTCGAAAAAGGAGTCCTTCAGAGCCTGTAGCAGTACGAGCTGCGGTAGAATGCTGGCCCCTGTGACTCTCAGAATCGCATCGTTTGTGCCAGTATTTCCAGTAGCAAGGTTGTTCAGCACGACAGTGGGCGGTGTCTTGACTGGGTCGTACATGATGGAGCCTTTGTCAATAAAGCTGCTAGGTCTCCATACAATATCTCGCTGGAGATTGCCGCTTGTCTCTGATACTTTGCTGACTGCCTCTCCTCTTAGACTGTCTCTCGGGCTGATCATTTGTTCTGTGACTGGCAACGAAATAGATGGCGTTCTGATGTCGGTCCCGCCCAGATCAGTGCCCCGCGGGCGCCTCTTCCGGACTCCATTGCGGAGACTGACCCCGGCTGGTCAGCACCTCTATTGCAAGAGCATGACATGACTTAGGAGCGAGCGTACACGCAGGGAATTTGAGCACGTCGACAATTCCGACACGTCTTGTCTTGGCTTGCCTGTAAATCGCATTTTACCTGTCCGTATGCTAAGTTAGCCCAGCTCTTTGTCGAAATTGGAGAACAGGTAGTAGTAGTTGCTTACTTTGCGTGAGTGACATTCAACACATACAACGTTCGCACGGTCCCTCAATGAACGACGGGATCTGTCCATAGTCTCATTGGCGACAGTACGATCGGAACCTCCGTACCCTTTGTGAAGGATATGGGTTTCGACTGGATGCAGACGTGACCTCAGTTCTGGTTCTGTAATGCAAAGAAAGCTCACGGTGCGGGGCAAAAAGCCTTTTCTATGGACCCTATGGGTGGCCGGGAAGCTAGCCGAGGCCCCCGGAAGCTCCGGCTTTGCGGGGGTGCATGGACCAAGCATGTCTCGTAGGTATACGGAGTACCTCAGCAAGTAATAGCAATGATGGACAAAATACGGCCCGTATGCATCGAATGTCCAAAACACATAACCAGCTCCTGTCGCAAATGGCCGAATATTCAAATCTGGGCAACATCACCCTATGTGAAACTCAGTCATCATTCACTCCAACGTTGACCTCGAGCCGTCTTCCACTGTGGCCTTCTCTCCTCAAAGTGAAAGAGGCAAGGCATTGATGCTCGTCTTGGTCTAGTCAGCACATATTGATACAGCACCTGACATAAAAGGGTTGTCATTTCTTAGCATGTTGCACTTCCAGTCCTCCTCGTCTGGGCTCGGTCTTCCCACAGTTATTCCGCTTGACTACCTACTTGTCTTCCCTTTCGGGATCAATTCCGTGGGCGGGCCAAATGGTGTCGAAGTTCGCAACAATAGCCGGCTCCGAAATGGCGAGGTATCTCATTTGTTTCACAGCCCATGCGCTGATTTCTGACGGACCTTAAATCAGAGAATCTCCTCGATACCATATAAGTGGAAATAGCTACCTCACCGAGACCTTTACCCCCGTCATTCTCGACATGCTGCAGGACGCACACGAACCAGGTCCTCGCCAAGAACGGAGACGCGGGCCTGCGCCGCTCAAGGTCACAAACGCCCTGTCTCCTGAGTGAGGCCGGTGTGGGGCTTCTGCGGAGTACTCTGTAAGGTACTCCGTACGCCTATGCACTTCAACGATTTTCAACGTTTCTCTAGCTAACTGCTAATTTCATATGTCTCCACCAAATATCACACGTGCAGTCCCGCGATTCAAGACCCATTGGCAGCTCGGAGATGCCGAATCGCCTCATAATTAACATAAAGCTTTAGTGATCACATAGTCACTAGACCTGCGAAAGGCTTCCTCCTATGTTCAACTTCTACCCAATTCATATATGATTTATGATAAGAGAGGCGCACTAGGTTATTTTGTGCCGGTCTGAGCCAACGAGAGCCTCAACAAACTACTAGCTACTGTTTGGCACAGTTGCCATGGCATAAAACGAACGCAATACTAGCTCTGCTTCCCGCTTGATTGAGTTTCGTATATTGAGAGTACTATAATTGCCTTAATGCTTATTACGTTGAATTCCTGACTCGAGTGGAGACAAGTAGCCTCACAATCTCTGAACCGCGTATTCCGGCCTTTGACGAAGGAACTAAGTTTGTCATTTGGCAGCCCGGCTCAGTCTATGCCGCTTGCCACAATGCAGCAACCACGGAGCTTGGTCGAAGAAATTCACTTTCATCGCCTTCGGCTAGTTATCAACCTGATCTCACCGTATTCTAGCGAGAGGTGATGCGAAGCAGGAACCACAAGTCCACGTTTATATAAACCCATGGCTCTCTCCACAGGAACAAGATCTATTCAATTGCACTATTAACATTCCTTCGTCTCCATACCGAACTAGTTACAATGTTTAACCTCAGTGCAACACTTCTTACTCTTGCAGCTGTTCTGAGCTGTGTTTCTGCCGGGACGACGAGGTCAATGCCTGGGGCAACCTGCTCTCAACCCGAATGTACCGTTCCCGGGCGAGGTTGTGTAACTGAATGCGTGGTGAGTCCTGATTTTAGCTTCCATTGCCGATGCCGCGGTATAAGGGACTGTATTGCTGACCACGGAACAGCCCATCGGCAGTGAGGGTAGTCATCATGTCGACTGGCTATTTAACGGTGATTGCGGAGACGACCACAAATGCCTTATCAAGGATTTCACCTGCAATTCTAGGGCGCACACTGCTTTAATGAACCAACCTTGTACTATATCTTGCTCGGTAAGCAATTTCGTCCTCATAGTCTTAACAAAACCATGATCCCCAATAATCTAACGGATTCGTGAACAAGAACGGGTACAAGAAACGTGGACGCACGGCCAATGGCAGCTGTAGACTCTAGGTGCAGTTGGCACAATATGCATAGCCTGCCATATCTGTACTAGTATAAGAAGCGATCGGGATCTGAGACTATACGACACATCATATTCCATGAAGACAGCGATATCATGTGATCAGCGAACTAAAGTGGAAAGGCTAGATGGTATATAGAAAGCTTGATTGAGCTTCAAATAAAAATCCAGACTAGGGTGAATATATGTACAAACCATGTCAAAGAATGCATTTTGCGCTGGTGACTTGTACTTAGGGGGTTTGAAGGATAGGAGGGTGTCTCGGAAGTCACAAGCGACGGATAGCCAGGCGTGCCGTGCCACGAGTACAGCTCGGGCGAACCGTCGGGTGATCGTGTTTCCCTTCTTTCGGGCTGGACGGTCATCGGCTCATCTTGATTGCTCGAATTTTTGACTGATATTTTTCCTTTTCCAGCCCTTGATTGGATTCGATATTGTGCGAGGTGTGGGTGACACGATCCGTTACACCGTGTCCAGTGGCTGTGTCTTACAGCGGTCCGCTTCCCGTCAAAAGAATCTAGGGGATGACCAACGGGCCTCCCAACCTCGAACTTACTCCCTTCCAAGAGTTTTTGAAGCCAATCTCTTCTCTCCAATCATCGTGTCATCGTCATGGACTGGTGGTGAGCAGACTCTGCGTGAGCGATCGCCCTGCGCCTCCAGCTCAAGACCGCTCAGGTCATGTTTCATCGCGAGTTCTGAACGGGTGGTGCAAGGCACAGGGATAAGGGATGGGATTGGGGGACAAGATAAAGACAGGAGCCTCAAAATCCGCAACTTTTAATGCGCGTGGAGAAGATTGTCGCGTCTCTAATTGTATTCGAATTATTGCCTCCCACTCCCACTTCTTTGGCACTGTCTCTCCCGGTTCACCAATTTCCTTACAAGTCTTTGAGGATTTCAGGTCTTTTTCATCGTCCCACAATCATTGAGTGCATTCAGACTTTCGATGCATCCAGCTACGTTATGGGTTATCGCATTGCCGCTTCTCGCAAAGCTGAGTCATGCCCAAGTAAACCTCCCCGTCTCTGGCGTGATGGCTTACTTGGGATGCTACATCCTCACAGACATGACACAATTCGAAACGATTCAAGACAACGCCAGCGTGGAGCCTGTGAGCTGCCAAAATCAATGCTCAACCTTGATCCGCAGATTCGCTGCCTTGAAGGGGACCACTTGTCTTTGTAGCAGGGCAGGCATCAATAACCCGGTTGGTTATTTTGACCCTGAATCCAAGTGTAGTATTCTCTGCAGCGGGAATACCAACGCCCTCTGTGGTGGTTTTGCAGATGGGTTAGACCACTATAGCACGTATTACGGCTTTCGGGAGGTTCCACCTGCTCCGACTACTACAGAATCGTCTGAATCAAGCACGTCGCCCACAACGTCGAGTTCACAGTCCAACACTGAAACTTCGTCCTTCACTTTCTTGTCGAACTCATCTTCGACCGGTTTGAGTTCTTCTTCGACGTCTTCATCAATTTCAGATTCCACCACAGACACAACCTCTACTTCCTCCTCGGGTTCCTCTTCAACTTCTCTAACAACATCCTCCTCAGTCTCTGATTCAACCTCTTCTTCAACCTCCTCTTCGACTTCTTCTTCAACTCTAGAGTCCACCGCAGACACATCTTCAACATTGGTCTTGACCTCTTCTTCGATTTCTTCGACCTCGTTGTCAACTTCACCGTCAACCTCCTCCTCGTCATCATTCTTGTCAAGTTCCTCAATAACTTTAATTTCCTCTTCAGCCTCTGATTCAGGCTCGTCAACTTCCTTAGCGATCTCATCATCTACCTCGATTTCGACGTCTTCTTCTACTTCTTCCGAATCTACGGCATCCTCTTCGTCAACAATAACGAACCTCGGAGTGAGCAGCAGCACACAACCCTCTTCAATATCAACCGGTGGGCCATTCGCAAATACGACTAGCTCCTTAACCTCTTCACTCTCACTCACATCGTCTACGTCTGCGACGGGAACCACTACCTCGAACACCATTTCCACGTTAATCGTCTCAACAAACTCGCTGTCGTCTTCAACTTCTTCTTCAAGCTCAAGCTCAACAACTTTCACTTCTTCAGCAACACTGCCGTCAAGTAGTTCGATTTCCACAACAGCTCTGTCAACGAGCCTTTCAAGCTCTTCGACGTATCCTACGAGCTCGAATTCGACAGCAACAACGTTAATGACTTTATCCTTATCCTTGACCACCAGTTCTCTTTCAGAGACTCCTCTCCTACCAACCACCTCTCTCCCATCTGCAATAATCGCAACATTAAGCAACAGCTCCATACCTGGTTCGCTACTAGTATCTAGTACAAGCACGATTGTCACTTTGACATCTTCTGGCTCGACAACGGCCTTCACATCCACTTCGAGCGGTACATCATCAGATCTTCTGACAAGTCTACCGTCAAGTAGCAGTCCTTCATCAACGGACATCACTACTTCTCTGAGTACAACGTTCCTCGCTAGTACGAGTGATGCAGCTTCAACAAGCCCAGCTCAATCCACTGGCAGTTCTTCAATACTACCCCCGTCTTCAACTAGTGAGAGAACATCTCTGACAGAATTGGGTCCGAACACAACTTTTCCGTCAATCTCGGAGTCAGCTTCCAACCAGCTGACAAGCAATCTCAATTTTGTCTCAAATTCAGCTTCTTCCATCACGCAAGCCTCGTCTTCAAATTTGGCTACAAGCACGGCATCCGAACCCTCTTATGTTCAGGAAGGCCAAACCACTACTGCCTTGAGCTTGACCCCAACCTCGGAATCCCCTTCGTCATTCACTGCAACGGATCTAGCAAACATACTATCATCAACAACGCCGGCGTCAACCTTGAATACGGCGCTCGCGACAAATACCTTGTCAAGTGATTCAATATTGGCACCATCACCAATTCCGCTTTCTTCTCCATCGCAGATTTCGTCGTCAACTTCTCTGACAGATGTTTCCACCACAAATGATGTCACTTCAGTGACTGGGCCAACCACGAGTTCCTCCTTCATTACCTCTACCCTAGTATCATCGCCAACGTCCGTGTCCATCGCTACAAACCAGCTTTTCCAATTGACCGTATTGCTAGTTGCTGCGGAATCGGCTTTGCCACAGTAACGGAATCAGTTGTATCCCAGAGAAAAGTTTATTGCTTGTTGTTTTTGAGGTTAAATCCAGACCATTGGTATAGGCAGCACTGTTATTAGACGGCCAACGGCGTTTCGGAGATTTCGCAGGGCTGGGCGGGGAGAAGGACACACGAAACAGCCATGTGCAAACTGAGTTCATGCTCGGGGCGGAAATAGACTTGCTTTCGTCCAATGAGACCAATTACCACTTGAGGCTATGCGATGTCACGGACTCCCGAGATGCATAGAATTGAGAGGTTCAATTTCCTATCCTTTAATTAGTGGAATTTGTTTGATTCAGGGAGGGTTGATTCATGAGTTGAATGTCCTGTAAAGACTTCCCATTCCCACTTTAGCATCTTTGACACAGCAGTCGAAGATTTGACGAAATATTGAGGTATCTGCGGCGGGCAAATACTGACGAACATTTTATAGATCCTTTTGTCTCAATATTGAAATTCCTTGCGCTCGCAACTTTTTGTGTAATCGTTACCTCCAGGGTACGTCTAACTCAAAGCCAAAATCCCGGGGTCACATAAGTGAATGATTGATTGCACGCGAGTTATATCGCGTCTAGTCCAGCCAGATCAAGCTTTATTTAGGTACATGGGTTATGCTACGAGAATCTCTAATGAAATCAAATTCACGATGTAAAGACTCTGTGGAGGAGTGAAATGAGCCATCGTGCTTGCTGAATTAATTACTCAACGGCACCTAGTATTTGATCTCGTCCCACCTCAAATCTCTTCCCAACTTTGACATGTTACATTGTGCTCTGAACGAGGCTTGGCACCAGCTCGATTACAAACCGGTCATATTCAGGAAAGTGCCACAACATTACCCTCCAGAGCCTGGCTCACCGACACGCTACTCGCTGCGCTGCCTGCTTGGCCCTGTCCCTGTGAGCCGCTCGCGGGCTGAGATCCGGTTTGCGGTGAGCTGGTTTGAGGCTGACTTGTCTGCGGAGATCCGGTCTGAGGAGAGCTCATCTGAGGAGACCCCTTCTGGGGAGAACCAGACTGGGAGGAATTTCCTGGAGAAGCCGTCTGAGGTGAACCCGTCTGGGGGGTACCAGTGGCTGGCACAGCTCCTGGAGGTGCACCGCCCATGGGAGGGCCCATACCAGGAGGCATTGCCAAAGGAGGGTTGGCGAGCGACACAATGCCCATTCCAACTGAGCCACCAGCTCCGGCAAACGCGGCCATGGCACTTTGAAGACCCTCCGCGGGAAGTTTGGAAAGAACAACCTGGCCAAGGGCAGCCGACAACATGTTTTGGTTCATGAAGGATTGAAGAAGCATCGGTGTCATGTTCAACTGGTCGAGCGTCTGACGTTGGAGCATTGCTGACATGACCATGATCTTCACGCTCTTCGTCAAAGTATCGGCGGCGTTTTGAAGAGCGATACCGTCTGAGATTCCAATCGGCGAGGTCGGAGCAACATCAGAACGGGCTTGTGAAAGTGCACCCTCCAGTCCCATCATCGCCGGGCCAAGAGCGGAAGCGCTGTTGGGGTCGGGTGTCAAAGCCTGGTATTATGTTAGTAAATCGGACTTCTGGTTTGCAAGTGCAGATCAGCTATTCCTCAACCACCAAAGTCGACTTACTCTAATAGCTGTATCCAAGTTTGATGATGCCACTGAGATGGACACGAAGGCTCCCTGAATTGTTTGAAGGTCTCTCTTTTGGAAGTCATTTGCTGGTGCTGCAGCCACAGTGCTGAGAACCAATGAGCCCACGACGAAAAAGGCCCTCATCCTCACGACCTTCGCTGACCAGAGCGAGAACGATAGAGAGAGAAATGAGTGAAAAGAGATCAGAATTAAACAGAAGAGATGGACAGGTGCCAGACCGGATTAACAAACCACTTGGTTCACGTCTGCATCTGTTAGGGGCATCAAGGTCTTTTATGACAATGCAACGAACCTTTAAAATGTCGGGATGTTTCCTACGCCGGACGACATCCCAAAGATCTGGGTCTCACCGGCAGCCGGTTGGAGTGGACGCATTTGGTAGGGCTTGCTCTAAGCGCTTCAGATCTTGCGACGCCGGAGCATCCGTCCCCAGCAGGTAGACAATCGCGAAGATCCCATCATACGAACAAGACCCACCTCAAACCATCTGGAGCTGATCCAAACGCCCGGGTCAGATTCTGACCACGAGGAACTCCCGTTTGAGGGAATCGCGGAGCTCCGATCAACGTCGTAGATGGGATGAAACGCTGTCGCGGGTTACAGTCGCCTTGACAGCCTGCCAATTCGGGGAACTGGTAGGAGAGTCTGCGGGCTTGGTTGGAGACGGAAGTCTGTGCAGTTTCTTTATACGACCTAGAGCAAAGGAAGATGGTGATGGCAAGTGCGATCAGTAGAGTGGCTCCTGTTGCGGAATGCCAAACTCGGTCATCGATTGTTTGCATTAATACCAGCCGGGTGGGCTACCGAACTTTATCGAACGTGCTTCCATGGCAACACGACGAGGCTGAAGTTGGGATCTTTCAACCGGAGAGGAGATTACTGCCGACTTGCGACGGCTATTAATTAGACGCCGGCTTTGAGAGGGTAGAGTGAAGAGAGTCACTGGTGACCCGCTACAGTGAGGGATTAGAAACCGGCTCCGGGAAGTGAGAGATGATGGTGGTCTAGTTGCGCATGTGTTTGACTCTGCATTACCACCTCGGAACCGAGACCGAGCTACGGAGGATTATATGATGCTACCTCTCCCGCCGATGAATTCTTTGGACTCAAGTGCATTTTTGGCACATGTTTTGTCTTTTGTGGAAATACCGCTAGCATTCCATCAATTGTGTTGTTCTATCGAAAGGCAAGGCAAAGTAACACCTCATAGACATTTATCCTATAAACCATCTAGAGACGACCTGCGGATCCATAAATTTGTTTTAGTGTTTTTATCAATGAAGATTTCACGCGAAGGTACTCACAGAATTTTAATGGAACACGAAATAGATTGCCCAACCGAAGTGAACATTCAGTACCTTACTGTACGGAAGACACTGGCTCGCCGCTCGGTATAACTTACTCGTCCCCGCATTTTGTTGATGACTACCTGTAGAGGTAACAGATGTTGTCAACACGGGTATTACGCCTTGAACTGTTGATAGAAATCACATGATCGCTTTTGAAAACGTACTGGATGTGGAAGATGTATCGTTCTCAGATTGCCCAAGCCGCAAAAACAATGGTAAAGTCTGCAAGGCAAGAAAATCAGGCGGAGCAAGATGGGATCAACCTTTGCAATTCATACAGAAATTTAGAGTGACACACCGCCAGAGTGCTCAGCAAGGTCTATGTCAGAACATTCCCAAACATCTTCCTCATCCGCCTCGTCTCCCACAGCTTCCGCAAAGATGCTCTGCTTGTCTCGTGAAGCGAGTTGAAAGGCGTTGGCTGCTCCGCCGAGAGACAAGTCTGCTAATGCCAACGCCAAACCTCCCATGTTTGTCTGGTCGTTGGCTTCCGTCGATCGAAACGTTGGGTGAGAAGAGTGCGTGTTGGAGTCGTGTCTCTTGCCATCAGATGTTTTGTCTCTCAAAGCACGAAGTGCATCCTCTCGGATCTTGCTGATGACCCTGTCTAGCAGATTGTCTCTTTCCTTGGCTTCGATGGAATTGTCAACAAATAAATTCGGGACAGTCCAATTTGAGTAGACATTCTTGTGACCGGACCGAACCCGGATGTCGCTATTATGAGCAGCAAAGTAATACTCGCACAGCCGGCAAGTGGGTTTGCTGCAGCCGATATATCTGGCGTCATCGAAGAACGGGATGTGGTGGCGATCTCCGCAACATTCTCGACAAAGATAATGCAATAATAAGATCTCGCAATGAACAATGGGATGAAAGGATTTCCTTTGACACTGATTACTGATACACTTATCCAAGTCACAGACTTGAAGTGTGTTGGCCTGTTCGAGAGTCACATTACGGTCCGCTGTGTTCGACATCATTCGTCTAATAATACTCTCTGCTGAACGCCTCTTTTGTTGCGTCTTTACCGCCATGTGGCTCTGGAGCATATTCATTGGATTATTCATGGGTGAACTCGACGGTAACCAGAGAATTTCGAAGTTTTCGAACAGATCCGGGTGAAGCCGTCTCCGACTGGAGATGATAGCTCGAACAGCGACGTGATACGAAGAAAGCCGTCCGATGAAATGCTGTAGCTCACACCAGCGCTCAGACTCATCGAAACGTCCTTCTCTGGCTCTTTCAATGACTGATTCGTACATCGGACTCTTGAGGAAGCCGTTTGCAGCCAGAATTAAATATTCAGAGTTACGAGCGACTACCACACCAACATTGAGGGCCGTTTTAGCATTGTTATCTCAGACATAAAAGACGATCTGGGCCAAACTCACAATCTTCGTTATCATTCGAGGGCTCCCCAGCCCGAGTGAGAGTCTTGAGATATTCGAGTTCATCAAGCAGAGGGTCCCCTGCACAAGAATCATGTTAATTGACCAGGTGAATGAGTACCGTAAACGCCTTCTACTTGATTAGTGGGGAAAATACCTGCTTCAAACGACTTGGTTTTCAAGTCTTCAATGCATTGGTCCAGCCGTTTTTGGAGTCGAGATTTGTAGAGGGTGATCCGTTGCGTATGGAAAAGAAGTATGCTGCGAAGAAGTTCACGAAAGAGTGGAGATTTATCATCATCTCTAACGTCGACCCGGGTTTGTAGACCCATCCTATCAAGTAGCTGTTGTATAATCCTCACTACAGATCCAGCATCCTCCGAGTTTCGTTGGTTGGATGCAAAAATGTATTGCATCTTGTCAGGCTTTTGGATGATTGCAAGGGCTGTGATCGTGTCTCCGAACGGCCGGTTATCACCGACCTGAGCCAATTTATTGACGAAGAACTCCAGAGTTGTGCGAGAACTTCCCCCAGGCTCGCTAGTTTCAGCAATTTGGCGATATTGGCCGTTCTGCAATCTCTTACAGGCCTCTGTTAGGCCACATAGCAGAACCAAAGCCTCGTACAACCAAATCAACCTGTCTCGGAGCCTGACAGTGAGGACACCAAGGCCCTCCACAATCACAGTTCCTTTCGAATGTGTGTATCAGTGCACCATTCACAAGTCAATAGAGAGTGTCTTACGTTGTTCCCTCAGGCAAACCGCCGGGGTCACCGAGATCACTTCGTCTCTTGCCATCGTCGAGGAATTCCGGCGAGGTCCAGTTGTGGCAATGAGCGGAGCAACCAGCGTGTGGTTTTGAGCCTTTCTGCAAGTCTTGTTTCAATCTTACGCTTGGGAGAAGAACTTCAGAAAGCATAAGTGCTCTGATGTATGGGAATCTAGTCCGCCAGAAATTCGCCAAGTCCAGGCTGCCTAGTATTAGAGGAAGTCCAATAAGGCAGATACAATTGGAAGCATGAGTGCGCTGGAGGCACAAACACATCCAATAGCGGCCAGGTATTGATGCGCCATGCCTGAGTATTAATGCAAGGGTGATGCGGGACGAGATCACCAACGTGAGATGTGTGCTGCCCCTCCAACCACTCAGCACATCTGCCGGCCACACTTGAGCTCGCCTTGTCTGTCCCTAACCAACATCGCATCGAAAATCGCATGACTTCATCGGGTTCATGATTGGCTCTCAATGTTTTGGCAAAGACCCAAATGGGCAGCTAATGCTGGGGGCCACTCGATGGCTTTTCAAGGCGGAAATGAACGGCGATCATCAGCCAATGGGGACGTGGCCAGCATCATCAGAGGCTGGCATCAGGATTTGCCAACACTTCCGTTCGACCTGCAAGACTGAAAGTCAGCGCCCAAGACTGAAATCAGTCGTGTCAGGCATATGCAGAGCGTTCCTAACCGGGCATTCTGAGTTCATCACTCCGTGCCACGTTTCTATGGGTATCAACGGAGATACTGGTAGACTGCTTACTGTTTGTTTGGTGCGCGAGGTCCTGCGTGGACGACTGGTTGGCTCAACAGGGCAAGCTTCCCCGTCCATGGAAGTAGAAAAAGAAATGCTAGGATATTTCCTCGGCATTATATTATGTGCGACTTGCCCTTTATGTGATGACTACTACAGCTGCACGTCCTACTCTCGATGTTCTCTCAAGTCATTGTCCCAGACGGTTTCAACGCATCAGCACTATCTCTGCGACGAACCGGGTGATGGTGACATATCTACGTCGACGCAGCCTGCGAATCTTCATCTTCACCGACCCATTAACCTTCTCACCAATACCGATCAAATATTGTTACATCAATTCCAGTCCAAGTAGTGGCTGGTCAGTTTGGACCGGGGGTGCCATCCCTCAAATCACCTCAGTTTAGGTGTGTAACACAACAAGTTCGGGGATCTTAGGCGGGCGGCTGTTGGGGTAAGCAGGCTGACGAGTATGTATGCAAGAATCCTCTTTCTTCGAACGCGTATCATCTCTTTCTCCATGAGGGGGGTACAGAGCTGTAAGACTTTATTTCCTGGTCGTTTAATGTTACCTACATCGAGAGAGGGACCCAGCTAACCACGTTCCACAGTTTTAGAAGTATTGGATGAACCTCATCTTGGCATAATGTTCAACCACGACCAAAATGCCCATCACGAGCATGGACTCTTCGAAGAAAACGACCCGGGCGGGCTTCATATCAGAGATGAGGGCTCTATAAGTTCCAATGAATTGCCTTCTCAAGACAAGGGCCATCGTCTGGACATCACGCTGCCTGACGGAGCAAGTGCTCACTACCAAACTCCTCCTATGCCGGTTGATCACACTTTGGGAACCTCACTTCCAGGACATTAGGCTCCTGAAAGTGGACGGTCGCAACCCAGGACTCAGTGTCCCAGCCTGCGACCCTCACAGGTTCCAGAAGGGTGGATATTGCAAGATCAAGAAGCAATGGACTTGGCTGTACGGATATTGGAGGAAACCAAGTATGGATGCAACTTCTGTAGGGTGGAGTTCCCTAAGAAGTACCTGCTCAAGTAGGTCGCGAAGTCCTAGCCCTTCGGTCACGGCTAAAAACAGAGCTGACTTTGGTCCAGCAAGCATCTGAAAATGCACACCAAGCCATACAAATGCCTGGTACACATGCCTAGAGCTGTCCCTGACCTCTGCCCCAAAGGATTTTCAAATAGCAGAGACCTCAAGCGTCACCGAGATACTACCCATGGGAGAGTTAATGAAGGGTACCCTTGTCCTAATTGCTCAAAAAAGCTCGCAAGGCCGGACTACATTCCGCGTCACCTCAAAAGGGGAGCATGCAAATCAACAAAAGGCAGTAGAAATGCATCGCATGGAGATAGAGACTGACGCTGGCGGGCTTCGTGCGTCTCGTGTTACTTCACAGGATTTTGTTTCCTACTTCGTTCTACAATGTGGCCGGGCCTACTGCTGTTCATTCCTTGATCGACCTTATCCGCAAGCACATATGGCAGCCTTTTTTCTTAACGCAGTTCAAGGCGAGGGTCGTTCCGTCGTCCACGTCCTTACTCCCACACTCTTTAGAACTACATAGCAACGATTTGTTAGCTATTACATCCGCCAAATATGAGTCATGTTCTTCTTTCTGCTTCATAATCCAGACATTAGACCATTCAAAGCGGGAAGAGCAGAACTCACTACACTGCTCGCGCCAAGACGCATTTCGACGAACATGCCCTCGATCCGGGCTTTTGGTAGCTTAGACTAGCAACAACGTTAATCTAGTCAATGCTAGCGTTAAGACAGCCGCGAGCGGACAACCGCATGGCATGATGCGCATCATTTCGGGCAATAACCAGGATCACTCATTGGACAGAGCCGAGAGCGGAAGGACGATGTCTCAGGGGTTGAGAGTTCATTGGTCGTGTAGGAATGTCAACTCGCATCGTCAGACGAGCGCCGAGAGCCCCAGACGCCAGCCGCAAACAGATGTGTAGATGTAAACACAGGCTGCTTTTAATGTGATGAAATGTGGCAAAATGAAAACATGGTCAACAAATCCTCAAAATTACTCATTCCAATGTTGCGGATTTTAAATAGCGGGTATTGCCCGCAGAAGCCAGAGGCCCCGATGTTCGTTCGCCTCAATAATTCCTCGACAATAAATTCAAGATGAAGTGGACTGCTTCCCTCACACTTGCGCTAGCCGCGTTGCGGCAGGTTGCTGCCACAAACTCGACATCATGCACCCCAAGGCTGATCAGCTACTGGATCAACGCCAACGCCTCCATCTCAACAGTGGAGTCGGTCGATGCCGGCAACGGATTCTCCGAAGAGGGAAACGTCGCCTTTCCGGGTAACGTTACGAACCTTCCCAGTCTCTGCGCTGTGAGCTTCATTGCGAAGACCTCAGAGGGAAACGAGTACAAGTTTGCCATCTTCCTGCCAGACGACTGGAACAACAAGATCCTCACCGTAGGCAATGATGGCTTTTCAGGAGGCGTCAATGCCCCGGCCATGGCCGTCGGCGTTAAGTACGGCTTCGTCACACTTGCGACCGATGCCGGACACAACTCTACCCAGGGCAATCTCACTTGGGCGCTGGGCAACAACGGTGCCAAGCTGGACTACGGACACAGGGCACTGCACAACTCCCTCGCGCTGGCTCAGAGAGTCGTCGAGAAGTACTACGGCCTGGCCCCTACAGCTTCCTACTTCTCTGGCACGTCAGATGGCGGTCGGCAAGGTCTTAAGGCTGCTGAGATGTACCCTCGCGACTTTTCGGCGCTCCTGATCGGTGCCCCGGCTTGGTGGCAGAGCCATCTGCAAAGCTGGAGGATTGCGATTGGCATCACCAACCTGCCCACCGACAACGCGAAGCACATTCCCGCCGAGAAGTACACGGTGATTGGTGATGCCGTCAGGAAGCAGTGCGACGCGGCTGATGGAGTCGAGGACAGCATCGTCAGCGACCCCAGCAACTGCACTGTCAACTATGACCTCTTCACCTGCGGTAAAGATGGTGTTGACGCGACAGCTTGCCTTTCTGCTGAGCAGGTCACCGTAGCCCAGGCACTGTACGCCGACTACAAGGTCAACGACGAGACTGCCTTCCCAGGCGTCAGCCCCTCCTCCGAATACGGATGGGGTTCGCTGCTGGGTGGCGGTAACGGTTCGGAGCCGAATGAGGTCGCCGTCAGCTACATGAAGTACTTCCTCTTCAATGACGCGGAGTGGGCTTGGTCTAGCTACAACGAGACTGTCCCCGACTACGCCAACGAAACGAACCCGGGCGAACTTGATGTCAACACCTTCAACCTGACCAAGTTCTCCAGCCTCGGCGGCAAGATCATCATGTACCATGGCCTGTCTGATGCCGATGTGCCAGCCAAGGCGTCCCAAGTCTACTACGACAAGGTTGTCGCGCAGTCAGGCGGCGATGTCGAGGCCGTCCGCGCTTGGTTCCGTCTCTTCTTCCTCCCAGGACTGGGACACAAGACGACGACCGTCGATGCGCCTTGGTACATCGCCGGACCGGGACAGGCCGAGCAGCTCCTCGGCGGTGGGAACTACTCGGTGCCGGGCTACTCCGATGCGACACACGATGCCCTTCTAGCGCTCCAGCAGTGGGTTGACGGCGGTGCCGCACCGGACTCGCTCATCGCGACAACGTGGAAGAACGCGACTGACCCGACAACCGAGGTCCTGAGGCAGAGGCCGATTTGCCCGTATCCATCAACTCAAAAGTTCACCAGTGGCGGTGATCAGGCAAAGGCTGAGAGTTTCACGTGCTCAACGTAGGGTAGTAAATAATCGATGACATTAGGCCGAGGCGAATTGGAATGGACAAAAAGAGGTCGCGCTGCGGTTGCAGTCGGCTGGAGCGGCGTTGTGGGCCAAGCCGAGTAGTGCATAATAGCAATAATGTTTAATGTGATATCTACGTCAATCCATGTATCAAACCGACAAGGGATTATAACTGCTCGTCTTGAGCACGTGACCTCGCGCCAGTTTGCTGACAATGTAACGAGACAGGCGCGTCGCCACTGCGCAAGCATCAAACGGCAGAGGAGGGGCATCCATTCTCCCCAACGTTGCATCAGACCACGGCCGCCAGCAACAACCTTAACCAATACCTTCGGCACTGAGGAATAAGACATGACTTTCTCGATACTTCCTCCGGCATTTCCATACGCTTCCCTTCCAACGCTGTCCATCGAGCAACGATGACGGCATCGACGACGTCCCCACGGCCCCTCGACGAGGTGCCGGAAGATGTTCATGGGGCTTCGGAGCACGAAACCCTCAAGTACTCCCTATTGGGCCCATCTCTTACAAAATCTGGGCAGGATTCAGTCGACCAATCTAAGGTATGTCTCCAACCTGCCCATGGACGGGGCATCGTCTCGCTAATGGTCGTTTACCAGGTATCTGAGATCATTTACAATGCCTCGAAGGGATCCAAGTTCTTCAACCGTGAGGAAGAGCGCGACAAGACGTTAACGAAGAAGATCGAACAAATCCTCGAAAAGAAACGCCACATCGAGAAGCAGGACCTCAGTCGAGAGCTTCGCCTTGCTGACCAGCTCATTACACAACTGGAGATATCCCGAGATCTGACCCAATACGTCGTGCACGTCGACTGCGATGCGTTCTACGCTGCCGTGGAACTGCTAGACCGGCCCGAGCTCAAAGATATACCCTTCGCTGTTGGTGGCGGCGTTCTGACGACATGTAATTACGTTGCGCGAAAATATGGTTGTCGGAGTGGTATGGCTGGGTTTGTCGCCAAGAAGCTGTGTCCTGAACTAGTTCTTCTCAAGCTCAATTTTGAGAAGTATACAGCCAAGGCACACGAAGTTCGAGAAATCCTAGTCGAATACGACCCTCGATTCGAGAGTGCGAGTATTGATGAAGCATACTTGAATATCACAGAATACTGCACGAATAAGGGGATCGGGCCGGCCGAGGCCGTGGAACAGATGCGACGAGAGGTCCACGAGAGAACCAAAATCACAGTATCGGCGGGTATCGCGGCAAATGCGAAGCTTGCAAAGATATGTTCGAACATGAACAAGCCAAACGGTCAGTTCATTCTGCCAAATGATCGGGGCGAGATCTTGCGTTTTATGGCCAAGCTTCCGCCTCGAAAGGTCAACGGCATTGGCCGTGTGCTCGAGCGACAATTGGCCGAGATTGGCATCAAGACTTGCGCGGATATCTACCCTTATCGCCAGTTCCTCCGACCGCTCTTTGGCGATAAGGCCTACGAATTTCTGATCAATGTCCATCTCGGCCTGGGACGCACCAAGATCCAGCCAGCTGAGGAGTACGAGAGGAAGAGCGTCGGCACCGAGAGCACGTTCAAGGACATGTCCGATCCCCAGCAATTCAGAGAAAAGCTGAAGTGGACTGCAGAGGAGTTGGAGAAGGACATGAAGAGGGCAGAAGTCAAGGGTCGCACGTTGGTTCTAAAGGTGAAGCTTCACACGTACGAGGTCTTTACGCGACAAATTGTGTTGCCGAGAGCAATATGTCTGGCCGACGACCTTTATCACTTCTCCGTCCCCATCTTGTCGAAGTTGGAGGAGGAGATGCCCGGCATGATGCTGCGCCTCATGGGTCTACGATGCACACATCTTGTGAGCACGAAGAAGCCAGACACGATGGCATTTTTTGGTTTCCGATCCCGAAGGCCTGACTCAGCCGCATCACCCGAGAAGGCACTCAAGCCTGTGCACTCTGGAGCTAGTGGTGATTTGGACGACGATGGTTGGGAGCAGTGGCCTGAAGAGGAGCTTTTGGGTCTTGACAACGGTGAAGTAACCGAAGCAGTGGACCACGAGACCGAAGGCACGAATATTGACAACAGACCAAGCCCGGCTAGAAGACATGGCAAGGAAATTCTGCCGAATCCTGTGCCGGACTATGCACCTGTCAACGATGAGATGTGGGATTGTCCAATCTGCAATCGCCCACAAGTGCCTGATGAACGGCAGTTCAACGAGCACATCGATCTATGCCTCTCGAGACAGACCATTCGCGAAGCCGTGCACAAGGACATGCCCCTTGCGCCGCCATCGAGGTCAACCACGCCGGACGCAAAGAAGGCCAAGGTCGGTGGAGAAAAGAAACGCGGCAGGCCACCAGCAAAACCGCCGAGTGACGACCCACGGCAGAAGAAGCTTTGTTTTAGATGAGCTATAATGACAACTCGAACTAGATGATACCCGTAATATTACATGATCCCAATAGCTCTTCCGGGCGTGGAGAAGCCGGCCTCTCCACCCCGCCTTTGTCTCCCACGAGCCAAACCTGCTGCCTGCCCCAGACGGCGACTCGTTTCTTCCTTCTGGGCAGTTTTCTCATTGAATCAATCCGCCGTAATGACAGACACGTTGTCAGGCAACGTTGAACACGATCATTGTAAAAGCAAGAAGGTACAAGTGGCAAATGCCGGCGAACATTTGGCTCCGGGGACCTGCAGGTTCGTGTCCGAGCTAGCTAGCGTGCGATGAGGACGCCACGGCTTTCTTAGCCTGCAACGCTTGGAGTCTTCGTGATCAATTGAAGTAAGGGACTCAGAGAGGAACTAGATGAGGCTTTCCAATCCATGCGTTGGATTCCTTACAGATCGACAGGAGTGATCTCGCTTTCCCGATAGATCCATTGTCTTTTTAACGCTTCCTTGAGGATAAGCATCCAAGATCTGGGATATTTACTTCTGTGCGTCTATCGTGGACCACAATTCTTTCTTCGAACGCGCGAGGCTTGCGTTGGTCCTAAGGCGTGCCGTTACAATTTATCCAACCGGGCTGGAAAACGGCTCAACGCCTCGCGCTCTCACGATAAGCCATGGCTCACTTGCAGCACCCTCTTTTCAACGGGGGGAAGGGGAGAGGGGCAATCATAGCGCCAACGTTGCAATCAAGTGAATAGTCACGCCCGACGGAAAGCAACATCACATCAAACTTCAAAGCGGCTATTCAAAGGGAGAGTGATCGAGAGCCACGTGTGGAGGTTTGTGGGAAGGATTCAGAGCAGCCACCAGTGTCAGAAGAGATTGATTTCTCCCTGCTTCTCAGGTAGGCCGGTCGGCCGGAGGCCCTCGCTTGCACAGTATCAGAAGTCAGAAAACAGAAGCTTCTACGCTGGTTGAGTGTCTCATGACTTCTCCCTGCGCTCGTTCCTCGACAGACCCAGCACAAATCGTGGGATTCGGGCCATGGGCCAGACTTCCGCAGCTGGCCAGAGCCCTGCCACACCAAGTCATCTCTACAGTTGATGTCTCATTCTTGTTCAGCTGTGACAGTCTCTCGAGCAAGAGAACCGTGCGCCCGCGTTATCTCAGATAAAGCAATATTTACTATTGACAGGTCCGATTCAGCGACTTATGAATCTTCGCGCTATCCAAGGCCCTAATGAATCGCTTAAAGATCTGCGATGACGCTTCATCTTGCGGATCTTACGCTGGTCAGCTGACTGGCGACTGGCTGAATCGCCAGGCGACATGAACCCCACGAGGGCCACGACGACGGCCAAACAAAACGTTCTCCATCATGGCTCAGCTCTATGAAAGTCCGGTTCCCTGTTAGCGTCCGGAAGAGAGACGTCCCTTGACACTAGCGCCAGCGACCTGCTTGTGCAAGTAAAAGTTTATGCAACCGATGATCCACAGTGGAAGCCGTCGTCTTGAACCGCGACTATTGTTTGCACCCTCCCACTTCTACCGAGGGCGGCGCCTGTGAGAGGAAGCAGCCGCGCTCCCTTGCGTTACAGTCTCACTCCAACGGCCCCCAGCTCGGGCCATGAAGGCTGGCCATATTCTTTCAGACCAGGAGCTGACAGAACTCGGCGTGCAACTCGTCTTCAAATTCTCCCTGCATTGAAAAGACTCTCAAGATGTGATCGACATTCGAGGGCCAGCGCTATTGTTGACGTATACAGGGATCAGCACGACGGTGCGCCGGCTTCACCACCGCGTTTGGCTTACCTCGAAAAAGCACGATGGGTGCGCTCACAGCCTTCAAGAGTGATCCCTGGCTGGTGAATCACGGGTGACTGGGGAAGCACTTTCGCATTCCTCCTGAAACCTTGTTTTCCAGCCCCATCTGCATTCCAGCATATAACCAAGTCGATCCTCGGATTTTGAACATGCAGAATTCCTAGCCCTATTCCTCACGCTCCTTTTCTGCTCGCCAGCCGGCAGCTTTACACAATACCATCAGATCTTCGGTCAGCAACTTAGAGATCCTTCATCATGGAGTCGAGGGCTGCAGATGCCACACCTACACCAACTGCGGCAGCAGCGGCGCCTGCGTTCAACACTGCACCAGTTGCGGTCTTCTGGCTTACTTGGGGTGGGCTTTGGACAGTGCTACTGCTCTGCGGCATGGCATTCCTCTTTGTCAACCGCAAAATGCCTTTTCTAAGGATCCGCGGTCTGGCTTTGTCGTTTGGCGCCGTCACCATGCTCCACCTTTACTGGCTTTCGGTGCAGATCGGGCTTGCCATCGGCCAGTTCGTCCCCGATGGCGCCGAGTTTTGGGTGATGGGCCTCTACCTCCCCTTCGGCATTGCTCTTTTCCACGCTTCCAACAGCCGGTTCCTCCACATCGCCAAGGCGCAGCGGAAATATGCAGATAGGCCACTCACACAGTCCAACCCCCAGATGGACATCTGTTGCGGGCAGGACAAGACCCTGACGGGGAAGTTCCGGAAGCTCGATTACACCACCAAGATGCTAGCCGTCGTGTGCACGGGCATGCTTGTCCAAGTGAGTTGATGCAGGCTCGGATGGC